GGTTATTTTATTGGCTTGTGTTTTTTTTTTATTCAGTATCATTAAAATTGAGTTAAATTTAAAAAGTCTTACAAAATTACTTTATATTATTTAAAAAATAATAAATAATCATTACAAAGCAGTTTTGGTTTTCGACCAAGTGCATCCAGAATTTTTGGTTTCCGTTTCTGCCCAGAATTTTCATTTCGGTGCATCCCTAGATGTAAGACTACATGTTTTATTCAATTTAATTTAAATTTGACCGTAATTTACTTTCAAATTCCCCAATTGCTGAAGGGTCTGCACAACTTTTTAGTACAATTTCAAGTTGCACTGTTCAAAATACCTGTAATAGCACAGCAGTGCATACCTGTTTACATTTAATTAAGGTGGAGTAGATTAGACTGTAATACAGATAGTTGAGTTTGCCAGGTGCATACAACTTTTATGACAGGTTTTCATGAAAGTGTTGGTCAGTTTGTCTGCTTGACAATACCATTTTGCACTGCAACAATAAAACTGAAGTGAGATAAACAAACTGAGAAATGTTTCTTTTTAGTTAAAACAGATGTTGTCAAAGTTTTCCTTTAGGGACATAATTTGAAGTTGGAAAAAGGTAATAAATTGCAATATATCGCAGAATATCGCAATATATTTAAAATCGCAATAATATTGTATCGTGACACAAGTATCGTGATAATATCGTATCGTGAGGCCTCTGGTGATTCCCACCCCTAGAAGTTACGAGCATGATCGAACTCAGCACCAGACAAAATGCGGTGAGTGCCTGGATTTCAACCTAAACACATCTGATTGGCCATTGCGTTGTATAAATCAACCAACATGTCTGTGATTGGCTACTTTGCTCCCCTCTGCGAAAATGCATTGTAAAATCATTTGACGCTATCCAAAACAGAAGGGCAGATGCACTGGATTATTTGCCAAATCTATTTAGTTATGCTATTATTACGAAGAAAACCAATCCTAGTTATGGGCAGCTTTTCGATCTAAAAGCAATCAGTTAGACTATTTTACACTATGAGTTAGACTATTATACACGCGAAACTAAAGTCCGGCCGTCCCCCTTGGTCCGGAGGGGGGGGTCACAGGGATGTCCGTGGGGGGACAAAGCCGGCGCCGGGCCTGGATTGTTAGCTCTATATACAAACAATGTAGTCCTGATAAGTGTTTGTGTGTATGTGTGTTTCAGTATGCTTTTCTCGTGACATCAGTGGTGCAGTTTGCAGGTGGTGTGGTGGTGTTTTTTGGCCTGCTTACATCCCCAAAAGAAATTGGTGAGTTCATCTTCGTACAGTTTTTGTATTTGCAGTAGTGTTTCTTAAACAACACCAAATATGAAAGTACAGATACCAGAGAGCTGGTTTTGGATTCTTTCTCTCCTGTTCACTGTCATTTAGTAAAAAAAAGTCTGATTGTGAGCTCCAAGAGCAAGTCATAGTTTAAAGCAGGGGTCTCCAACCTTTTTTACACCACGGACCGGTTACGTTTTGAAAATATTGTAGCAGACCGGTTGGGGGTTTTATATATATATATATATATATATTTCAATGGATCATATGGTTTTTAACAAATCACAAATTCACAAATCGGATGATTTAAACAGGAAAAAAATTAAACCACAGAGAATGAGCATGCCGTGAAGGGTTTTTTGACAATTTTATGTGTAGCCTATGTATCTCAAACGCAGGGAGACATGAAAGATGAATTGATTTGGTATTGGCGCGCTATCTGAAACATGTCTCTATGCTTGTGCGCATTTTGGCTGTGTGTGAGAACAGTGTGTGAGTAATGAATCTCTTTCTTTCTTCTTCTTGTGGTTTAAAATCGCATGTACTTGTAAATTGGCAAATTAATCTGCTAATCACATGCGTGCCGAATGGTGGGGTCTGGTCCATACAGATCATGGATCAACTGCGATCCGTTTTAACCCCTATATGACAGATCAGAGCAATCTTTCATTTACAAATTGAACATGAAATCATCAAATTGCTACTCCATATCTATCGCATACAACAAAAATACTGAATAATTAGAACAATCATTAATGCGCAGTAAATAACAGAACGTCATATCTATACACATTTTCCCAGAATGTTCTTGCGACCCGGTAGCAGCTCTTCCATGGCCTGGTAGTGGGTCGCGACCCGGTGGTTGGGGACCTCTGGTTTAAAGTAACAGCAGCAGCTCTGGGCATGTGACCAAATGCATAAATCTTATTAGTTGGTCATTATTCTAGCAGTGCAATAGAAAAGAGATTAGAACACCTCTCTGTAAAACAATCTTGTCACAATGAAGGCATGTGAATGCATTTTTTTTTAAGGACTAAGTGACTACTCTGAGACAGGTCTGAGATCAGTGACAAGAGACTCAGACAGTCAGCGTCCTCTGATGAGTGATGATGAAGATGAGTTATGTGATGATTACTCCATACAGCAGCGGGATGAGGAGCCTGAACCACAGCCCAAAGCCATCGGCTTTCTCCAGGCCTTCTGCCTGCCAGGTGTCATTCCTGTCAGTGTCCAATTAAATGCTTTCTTACTTGCATACTAAAAATGGGCCACTATTGTCGAATAGACTTGAGATTAATTTATTGTCTGTCTCCTGCAGTATTCTCTGGCCTATGCATGTCTGAAGCTGGTCAACTACTCTTTCTTCTTCTGGCTTCCATTTTATCTCAGCAACAACTTTGGCTGGAAGGAGGTTGAGGCCGACCGGCTATCTGTGTGGTATGATGTGGGAGGCATTGTTGGTCAGTACCCAGTTTGGTTCTAACCAGACGTTACCAATTACGTTTTTTTCACTCTGAAAGAAACAAGCCAATCAAAAGATCATCAATGCAGTTACTGATGAAATTGGTCGTTAACAAAGGAATTTTGATATCTGTCAGTGATAGTAATGATGAAACAACAAATGCACATCATAACAATAATTAGACGATTTATATTGAAACATACAGATTACAAAATAACAGGTTAGATATTAACAATACAAGCAATGTTTTTAAAGTAAATGTTCATGTTGTAAATGTTGTTTAAAATAATCCAATCATATTCAGTAATGTGTAGCAAATTAGCTCAAACTGGAAATGTATATAAATAATTACAATTAATTATGATTAATTACAATTATTTATATCAGCTGCCAGTAGTAACTGTAGCAGAATTAAATTAGCATCAACCAATCTGTTCGTCCAGCGAACATTCAATGTAAGTTCATATCAACTCTAGGAAAGAAATATTTCCGTGGCCACAGAAAATACTTTCTTACAATATTAATGCATTAGAGCATGTAGTAAGGATCAAAATCGTAAAGGGACAATTAATTTGCAAGGCAGAATCAGAAACTCATGTAATTTGTGCACAAGAGTTTTATTAACTAAACACTAACACAAACTAGTCTAACAAACAAACAAACAAACAATCACTCATACAGGGGAAAGGGCAAATGAGACTTGATAGGTGAAACCATCAGGAAAACCAGAGAATGAAGCTATGAAAAGAGTAAATTAAACACCCGAGTAAAGCCATCAGCGCCGTTTTAGAACGGGGTCTACAGCTTATACTAAACCTCTGTTTCGTTTAGTTAAATGTACGATACTTGCATTGCCTTGGCCTGGAACGAGCGTACGGATGCAGTCTCGGATGAAAGTCTTGATGGTTTGGAGGTTCGGTGGTGTAGGAGTCGCGATCACCTTCTTCCGGGTTTGAAGAGTGATGAACTCCAAAGATGTTCAGACTCGATGGTGATTGGGAGTTTCTTCCCAGTGGAAAGTGAAAAAGAGCTAAGAGAGACATCAGCTGAGATCCTAGGATCTTTGGTGAATGGAAAGTCAAGGCCCGAGGTCTGGCGCAGACTTAGGGTGTCCTTAGATGGGTGCATCCTCATCTTCTCAGAATCTAACAGAACCGCAGACTGACTGGCTATGTGTTGGAGGCCACCGGGCACGCCCGGCACGCTCTCCACACGGGCCACAATCAGAAGATTTTAGCAGAAGACTTAGCAGAAGAGGAACAACAACATGGGCGGAACTGTGCGTGAGCCTTTTAAGGTCTGAGAAGATTCACGCCTCTCAGGATGGGCTTGTCCAATGAGAATGGCTGAAATTTCAAGCGGGAGGTTGGAAATACTGGGGAGTTTTATGACCCATTGTGTCAGAGCATGGTAATTTGCATATGGAACTCAAATCAAAATTACTATAGATTCTTAGAACACTAATATATTGCCTATATACCCACATATAATATAAACGCTCATTTAGATCATCAGAAGACAAATTCAAAGAGACCAAACATGGTATCGGTGGGGTTATATTAACTAGAGATCTATCATAACACACACACAAAACAGTATACAATTCAAAATACAATATACAAGAACAGTAATGGTATACACAATGTCCTGAGGAGATGTGTGTTCATTCACAGAAAGGTTTTCCTATGAATTAATTAGAGCAGAGTCCATTTTTATGGGCATTGTGTGTCTTTCCTAAGGGTAAATTAATTGTGAGTTGTGCTCTGCCCGCATTCCTTTGGGCAATAAAACCAGTGATATCAGCATTGGTTCTGCCTTCAAAAGTTCTACCTTCTGAGGTGTTAGATGCATTTCGGGGGAAGGGTCCATAGACCCTCATAGTTGGTATTTTGACTGAGGGGTGTTACAGAGTATTTGTTAAATATAACAAAAAACAATTGTGTCTGATTGGTCCAGACGCTACAAATGTCAGGAACTTATTTTAGCTGTGTGAAGCTAAACATTGAATAAACACTGGAAAACTGAAGCGCATTACTATAGCAGGCTAATTAACTTAACCAAACACATCCTATACACAAAATTAGTCATACAGTTGTGATCAAAACTTACATACACTTTTGCAGTATCTGCAAAATGTTAATTATTTTACCAAAATACGAGGGATCATACAAAATGCTTGTAATTTTTTATTTAGTACTGACCTGAATAAGATATTTCACATAAAAGACGTTTACATACAGTCCATAAGAGAAAATAACAATTGAATTTATAAAAATGACCCCGTTCAAAAGTTTACATATGCTTAATTCTTAATACTTGAACTTTTTCCAGCAATGACATCTTTTCACACTAAGGACAACTGAGGGACTCATACGCAACTATTACAAAAGGTTAAAATGCTCACTGATGCTCCAGAAGGAAAAAGTAATGTCAAGTCATCTTTATTTATATAGCGCTTTTAACAATACAGATTGTCAAAGCAACTGTACAGCATTAATTAGGAAAATAGTGTCAATAATAAAAAATGACAATAGTTAACATTCAATTTTCAGTTAAAGGCAGTTCATCATTGAATTCAGTGATGTCATCATCCAGCTCAGTTCAGTTTAAAAAGTATCTGAAATCAAGTCGACGATATCGCTGGAAACTAAGTTTCCCCAACTAAAGCCGGGCTCACACTGTGCGATTTTTAAAAAGTCCTTTAGGATTGTACTTGTCAGACTGTACGAACATGATGATCATGTCACACTCTGGGATCTCAGTTGTCATTAATGTCAGACTGTGAAAACTTGTCTGGAGATTTACCTTATCAACTTATACACGTTCAGTGACTGCAAGCTGCATTGCACGAGGGGCTGTAATGTTGTCAATAAAAGTATATGAATGGCGGCAATACCAGTGTATTTATGCAGAATAGTGCAAGCAGCACTACAAAGTACACACCCACATGAAAACAGCAGTCTAACCGGTGTTTATCATAGCAAAGGCAACATATCAGATGAATTCTGTGAGCGGAGGACGAGAGCGCCGGAGTTTATGCGGTTAGAAGAAATCTCTAGCATTAATTCTGATCATGGCTTGTCTTGAAAAACGAAGACAGTTTGACGTTCGTCGCAGGAGATGTCACACTGCAGGACTGTGCGCCAAATCTTCTGACACTGCCAGAAGTTCGTCGGAGGTAAAATTTTATCGCAACGGCCATTAATCGGCTGTCGGTGAACATGTCAAACTAACGATCAAAGACTACAGATTTTAGCCTAGGATTATATACAAAATTTGTCTCAGACGACCAAATCGTGGCCAAAATCGCACAGTGTGAGCCGGGCTTAAGCAAGCCAGAGGCGACAGCAGCAAGGAACCAAAACTCCATCGGTGACAGAATGGAGAAAAAAACCTTGGGGAAAACCAGGCTCAGTCGGGGGGCCAGTTCTCCTCTGGCCAGACAAAACCAGCAGTTCAATTCCAGGCTGCAGCAAAGTCACATTGTGCAGAGGACTCAACTGATTCCTGTGGTCTTGTCTGTCTTGGCCGTCTAGGAGACAAGGTCTTCACTGGGGATCTGTCTCTGGGGCTCATCTAGTTGTCCTGATCTCCGCTGACATTCAGGGCTGTAGAGGACATCTCTAGGTGCTGATCCACCATCTGGGCCTGGATACGTACTGGATCGGGTGGCTATGGTGACCATCTAATCTGGATAAAGACTGAATCTGGTGGCTACAGTGACCTCAGAATAAGAAAGAAACAGACTAATATTAGCGTAGATACTATTCTTCTAACGATGTAGCAAGTACATCGGGTGTTATGGGAAGTGTTCCCGGTTCCGGTTGTCCTAATTAATGCAGCCTAAATGCAGCCTAAAAATCCTTTAAGTCCTTTTAAACTTTTTGAATTGGATGATCAGGGTAAATTTAACTTATTTTGTCTTCTGGGAAACACGTACGTAGCTTCATTCTGTTCAAAGGTTTACACCCCTAGCTCTTAATGCATCCGTGTTAAACTTACATCTACACAAAATGACACACAAGTCAACCTGAACTAAATGCACAAACCAATCTGATTGCATTGCATGCGAGTCAGGATGTTGTGAATGAAATGGATTACTCTGTATCTCCTGCTCAACTTACATTCATTTCTATAGAGTTATATGAAGTCTATAAATCAGCCTATGTGAAATTTTGTTGGAAAAGAAAAATGCATTCTAAAACCCTACAAAACAGATTAAATACTTGGATGGAACCCTTCAGTTGATTAAACTCTTTAATATTACACTTTTTAAATACATTACAAAATATAGAACTTAATAAAAATGTTTAACTATGACATTTTTCTTTTGCCTCCTTTAACACTCACAAAGCACAAGTCCCCAATATTCAAAATGAATCGAAAAACAAATAGATTTGATGCAAAAACAGAAATAAATAATTTGTGTAACAGATAGGAGTTACTTGGGGCTCTTTTTCAATTCTTTTCTTTACCCAATCCATCGCACATTTAAATACTCCTCTAAAACACTGCCTACAAAGGTGTGGGCAGCTTCTGAAAAATTGTTAGCAGCAAAAAAAAAATATATAAGATTTTTGGTGTGAGTATACTGAGGCCTTTGGACACTACATTTCTTCCTGAAGTAGTTTGCAATCACAGTGTAAAGATTTTGCTCATGTGCTGAATGCAATCTCTTCCAGGAGGAACAGTACAAGGCTTGATCTCAGATGTTTTGGGAAAGCGAGCTCCTGTGTTAGCGATCAGTTTGCTGCTGGCCATGGGAGCGTTAGTGGGATACAGCCGTGAGTTTAGAGACTAAATCATACTGTCTAGAAAATACAACTACCCTTTCTAACTCTTCTTATTTATATCATCATTTGAGAAATTAAAGCAGAATACATTTTTAACTTCTGTTTTTTTACTTTTTTTTTTTTAATTGCTCAGACTCTCCAAATAACCAGCTGGTAAATGGAGCTCTTCTAGCAGCAACAGGTGACACATTATAATATGATAAAAGAATTTATAACTGTAAACTCAATTCACAATTATTCCTCGTTCTTGTATTGGAAACCTTAACATTTGAATATGTTTATAATTTGTTTCAGGTTTCCTTATCGGAGGCCCATCAAACATAATCAGTTCAGCGATTTCTGCAGATTTGGGTCGACAGGAAGCACTGCAGAATAGTCAGGAGGCTTTGGCCACAGTCACAGGAATAGTGGACGGCACAGGCAGCATTGGAGCTGCAGGGGGACAGGTAATGTGTTAAGATGCCAAGAAGCTCTCTTCCAAAGAGATGCTTTAAATTGTTTTCTTTGGTTATAAAAATGTAACCACATTTGTATATTTACTTGTATCTATTGTATCGGTTTATTTGTATTTGTATCTTTTTAGTAGTTATATGCAAATCATGTTCATTGTGGATGTTTATTTTTTATTTAATTATATTATTATTGTTGTTATTTATGTGCTGCTAGTCATCATGTGTAAGTACTAATTTAAAAATGTCTCTGTTTTGTAGTATCTGGTATCACTTATTGAGAGCAAATTAGGATGGATGTGCGTCTTCTATTTTTTCATAATCATGGTAGGTTAATTGTGATGCGACAGCACAAATTCACACATTCAGTCAGTGAAACATTAAAAGCACATATTTTCAGTGGACAAAAAAGTATTTAGTGAACAGTGACTGTGCTTTAGCCCCATTTTCCTTCATGCAAAATTCAATGTGAAGTGTATGATTTTTGTGGAATTAGCCTCACCAAACTTAAAACTCACTTAAAACAGGAAACAGACCTAAAATATTGATGTCTTATCCTATTCCACACAGTCAAATGGTCTCTAGAATAAGATTTAAAGTGTCTGGTTTTTTTCATTATTATTTCAGTCAAACCTATAAAACCCTTTGTTATCCCAAACTACATAAAAAAAAGCTTGACCAGTCACATAAAAGTAATCAGAATCCAGCTACTTATTCCTTTGTTACTCATTGACATGTGAACTTCCCCTTTAAATAACGGGACGCTCTGCCCTCTCTGTATGACGCTGCTCGCTTTAAGCGCTGTTAGAAGTGAATTAATTAATTCAGCATTTCAATACTTCCATAAGGATGCGTTAAATTCAACAAAGTGGTTTAAAATAGGGTGTATTGATCTTGTGAATTAGCAAATTTTACTATTCCAGTATTTTTTAAATTGGCCATTAAAGTCTTCTATGGGAATATTACACAACACACTGATCATTTAACAATGCATTGGCGCAAAATCACACCAATTTTGCAGCATGATTTGCCAATATTTTAAATTGGCCTTTGAACTTAGCTTTACTGCATGACAAAGCGTTACTTTGCCAAAGCACTGACAGAACCCATTGATCTAATGGTGTTGTTGAGTGCTCCAAATGCAAACTTTGCATCCAACAATCAGGCAGCAATTGACAGCGCTCCGATCCAATGGCATACAGGTATACTCTAGCCCAATGATGTTGGGGGATTCACTGGGGGCGGCAATCATATTTCAGGGTGGCCGTGCCACTCTTAATCACAACCCTGCTAAAATGTAGTGCAAGTACTTGCGCTCATTGGCACCCCCACCTGCTGGTGGCGCCCTCTAGTCTAGCTTGCCTGTGCCTAGAAATGGGCCTGCTCCCTTCAATACTTTTTACCACTGACTAGCAAGCAGCAAATCATGTAATTTAACTAAAACTAAAACAAAGGGCACAATCCAGAAACCACCCAAACTTCCTATTTCAACAGAAAATACATCAGCACAAGAAAGAAAACTTTGCCAAACCTTTTTATGGGTCTGGTATAAGATAGTTGAACACAGAATAAATAACATCATAAAAATGTTCCGCAAGCTGAGCTGAGCAAACATTTTAACATTTGTTTTTCTCTCATCCACAGACAGGGTGCAGTGTACTCTTCATCATTCCACTCCTTTACTGTGAAATCCGCTCCTTGTGCCGAGACAGTCAAGCTCGAACGCATCAGCTCTGAGTTGGACTTCCTTTGCCTGAATCTGAATGGAAAAATATTGAACACAGAATAAATAACATCATAAAAATGTTCCGCAAGCTGAGATGAGCAAACATTTTAACATTTGTTTTTCTCTCATCCACAGACAGGGTGCAGTGTACTCTTCATCATTCCACTCCTTTACTGTGAAATCCGCTCCTTGTGCCGAGACAGTCAAGCTCGAACGCATCAGCTCTGAGTTGGACTTCCTTTGCCTGAATCTGAATGGAAAAATTGGACATTTTGAAAATACAGACATCCTATTTGAGAATTCACCCTCTGTTTTGGAATGTTGCTTTCTGCAACAGAAACCTTACATTAAGTCTGGGTACTCCATATCAAGGCAGTGTTCAGACAGGCAGAAAATATGTGTTTTTTCTTTTATTAAAGGGGTCATATGATGTGATTAAAATTTTTCCTTTCTCTTTGAAGTGTTACAAGCTCTTGGTGCATAAAGAAGATCTGTAAAGTTGCAAAGACTAAAGTCTCAAATCCAAAGAGATATTCTTTATAAAAGTTAAGAGTCAACCACGCCTACCTAAAACGTCATGATGTGGGAAGATTTGCATAACGCCGCCCAAATGTTCACGCAAAGAAAGAAAGCATAACTTTTATTCTCACTGTAGTATTGTTGTTGCCGCCGCCGCCATGCCGTGGAGACACTGTTTCGTTGTGAAAGTGAAACTACTTTGTTTGGCCTTCCAAAAGAGGATGATATCCGCTTTGTTTGACTCCTTCGTCAAATCCGCCGGCCGCGCCATTCTCAAGCTCACCGGCCTCCGCTCACTCAAGCCCGCCGTGTGTGACACTGTGTTTCGTTGTGAAAGCGAAACTACTTTGTTTGGTCTTCCAAAAGAGGACGATATCTGCTTCGTCATGCCTGGAGCTGATCCGTGCTGGTCGCTGAGGAAATACATCAACTTT